AACTACTTAAATGGTTATATAACAATCATATATTATTCAATGTGAGGAAATTGAGACAGAGAGGTTAAATGGACCAAAGATACAGAGGCAGTGGTAAAAGTGGGATTTAAACTCTGTCCTGACTCCAGAGGTCAAGCTCCTAATTGCCCCTTTATTGTTTCACTTAAGAGGGTATATTTTTATTACTTTCCTCCAAGTTTTTAGTTTTAAAAAATGTTCATTTTAAATTTTACTATTATTCAAAGCTTCCCTCTGAAGCAAATATAAAAGATCAGTTTTTCTTCACAAGTGACTAGCTTAAAGAATATCATATGAAAGAAAACATTTTCTGGAATACATAGCTAAAGTAACTACATCAAATTAAAAACTTTGATATGAGACTAAGCAAAATTTAAAACACATGTTTATATTTGTTGATGTGGGTGGTGTTAAATTTTCTGTACTGTTTTTATGTTTAAACTTGTGACCTGGCAGACCACAAATGTTCTTAGAAGAATCAATATTTAAAATACTTTTTAAAACTTTATTACCTGAAACAATATTGTTCACATGGTTTGAACTCTAGTTGAATTTTACATGATTTTTTTGGATCACCTACTATCCAGACAGTGGTTACATGTTCACCATTGTGACCAGAGATTATATACTGATTTTCACCTTTCCTGAATTATTTTGATAGTGTTAAATTACTTTAACATATTAAAATTCTTTTACTTCATACAACCAGTAAGAAAAAATAATCAACTCATCTACTTCTCAGATACATCAACTATTTTGTGTCAGGTATGTGAATATATTTATTTACATTACCTAAGCTACTTATTATCTTTAAAATCACAGAAAGTAATTTCTCAGTTTACCAAAAGTTTTGGCCTTTAAGGTGGTTTTAGAAGTCTGACAAATTTATTTCTACAAGAAAAATTAAAGGGATATATTTATTTAGCTCCATAAATAAGATAGGTGAGACTATGGCTTAGAGAATTGACTAGCCCAAAGAAAGCCAGTCAGCTAGCTAGTGGCAGAGTAAGTTACTGGATCACTATTTTGATATTCTTTAATTTTTAATATTTTGCATTTTCAATAGCTGCTTATAGCTTACAATGGTAACATAAAACCAACAGGTTGTTGCTTTGTGTTGATGCCTGATACTGGTAATCTACTTTATTGGAACTCTTATCCACAGTTCATGAAGTGAGTCTATGAAAAATGGTCACGTTGAATAACTAACAATTCATTATTCATGTGTTAGGACAGTATCCAGCACATCTCAGTGCTCTCTAAATGTTTCTTAAGTGCATACAAAATTTGGAAGATGTAAATATTAAACCCAGTAATTTCTGTTCCTTCATTTACTGTTAATTCACCTCTGACAAGGTCACTTTTTCTGTTTATAAAATAGAATACCACCTTGTCCTAGTTACTAGAATGAGTTCATATTTAAAGTGTTGTGAAGTCTCTAAAGGAATATGTGATACATTTGGAGAAATGTCTTAATTGCTCCCCTCTTGCTTCAAACTTAGAATATTAATTTCTTAAGAAGCATTTTTACATAGACAAGTACGCTTTATTCTCTACGTTCCTGTGATGAACAGGAATCACTATGCTATTAGCTGTAATTTGTTATCTGCATGTCAAGATGTGGACCTCACAACCTGTAATAAGAACCAATAGCTACCAGGTGTGTGCTGAGTGACAGGCCCTGTCCTAAGTGCTTGGTGTGTATGTGCTTAGTCCTACTCTTTGCGACCTCATGGACGGTAGCCGGCCAGGCTCCTCTGTCCATGGAATTTTCCAGGCAAGAGTACTGGAGCGGGTTGTCATTTTCTTCTCCAGGGGATCTTCCTGACCCAGGGATCGAGACCAGGTCTCCAGTCTCTTGCACTGGCAGGCAGACTCTCTACCAGTGAGCCACTTGGGAAGCCCCTAAGTGCTTTAAGCGTCCCCTGTGGCTCAGCTGGGAAAGAGTGCCTGCAGTGCGGTTGGGATGATCCCCTGGAGAAGGGAAAGGCTTGACATATATGAGTTTTTAAAGTGTTTTAAATATACTAATTCACTTTACCCTAATAACTGAAGTACATACTATTACTACTACCACCCCGTTTAGATGAAAAGACTGAGAGAGACAGAGATCAAGTAACTTGGAAACTGGAGGAGTCTGGGTAAAGCCTGCTGTGGAATTAGAAAAGCCACTTTGCCCCTGAATATTTCTCCTTTACTGTCACACTGTTATCACTCGTAACACTTCTGACACCGTGTTTCCCCACCAAGTCATTCTCTGCAACACCAGTTGGAGGTGGCATCAGATCCCACAGGTTAAGGCTGCAGTCCCACAAGACTGCCCCTTCCCCACTTCAGACGCCAGTCACAAGCCCAGCTTGCTACCTGTGCTCCTTTTAGTCTGGGAGTGCATGCCAAGTCGCTTCAGTCATGTCTAACTCTTTGTGACAATATGGACCATAGCCTGCCAGGCTCCTCTGTCCATGGGATTCTCCAGGCAAGAATACTGGAGTGGGTTGCCATGCCCTCCTCCAGGGGATCTTCCTGACCCAGACCCAGGGACTGAACCCATGGCTCTTTAACATCTCCTGCATTGGCAGGCGGGTTCTTTATCACTAGTGCCACCTGGGAAGTCTGAGGTCCCCACAGCTCCCTCCTTGGGTTCGATTCATTTGCTAGAGTGACTCACAGACTCAGGGAAACAATGTCCACACGTTACTGAAGGACATGATCTGGAGGAGGAAATGGCAACCCACTCCAGTATTCTTGCCTAGAAAATTCCATGGAAAAGAGGAGCCTCCCAGGCTATAGTCCTTGGGGTCACAAAGAGGCAGACAAGACTGAACATGCACATGCACCCACACACAAAGAACATGATAAATACAGACGAACAGCTGGATAAATAAGTACATACGGTAAAGACTGGGAGGATCCCCTTTACAGGAGTGTCTGTCCCCATGAAGTTGGGTACCCCACCCTCTCAGGAGGAGGATGTGTTCACGTTCCTGGAATGTCCCCAAACCTCCTATTATTGGGATTTTTGTGGAGACTTCCTCACATAGACATGACCAATGAATAAACTTCATTTCTAGCCCCTCTCCCCTCTCTGCAGCATGAAGGTCTGGAGCTGAAAACTGCAAGCTTTTAATCATGGCTTGGTCTTTCTGGTGATCCATTCCCATCCAGAAGCTCACCTAGAGTCCTCTTATTGTAACAAATTATATTCCCAGTGCTCCTGTTACTTAGGAATTCTGTGCCAGAAACAAATATATGTATTTTCCATTATCTAACAGTTCTTAACCAATTACATGTATATACCTATACCTAAGTTAGGCATGGGAGAAGGCAATGGCACCCCACTCCAGTACTCTTGCCTGGAAAATCCCATGGACGGAGGAGCCTGGTGGGCTGCAGACCATGGGGTCGCTAAGAGTCGGACACCACTGAGCAACTTCACTTTCACTTTTCACTTTCATTCATTGGACAAGGAAATGGCAACCCACTCCAGTGTTCTTGCCTGGAGAATCCCAGGGACAGGGGAGCCTGGTGGGCTGCCGTCTATGGGGTCGCACAGAGTCGGACACGACTGAAGCGACTTAGAAGCAGCAGCAGCAAGGTAGGTATAATAGTACCATACAGAAGAAAATGAGTCAGAAATCAGGTACTTAACTCAAAATCACCCTAGTAACTTAATTCCAAGAACTGTACTTTTTCTACTATATCAGAAAAGGAAATACAGGATAGGGCTCTTAATACAGAAAGGCTAGAATGAAATCCCTGTTCTTCCACTTAATAGCTACATGACCTTGAGAAAGTTATTTCTCTTTGCCAGTTTCTTCATCTCTAAAGTATGGATACTGGAAGTTTCTACATGACTTGTGAGGAATAAGGAGATAAATGCTTACAAAAGTATCCTCGCACTCAATATAAACTTTTATTTCCAATTTTCCTTTTTTATTTATAGTAATTTGGCACATGTGCTACGCTGGCAGCAGCTGTAAGCCAGAGGTTAAAAGAATGAAGGCTCAAGTTAAGCCAGCTTGGGTCCAAATCCCAAACACAATGTCCTTTAGAAAATTAATCTGGAATTCTGGCATCCTCATCTCTGATGCAAGTGTTTTAATAAATATTAACCACTAACATTTCTGCATTTCTAGCAGCTAGCACAACATTTAATGCATAAACAGTTAAGAGGTCCTTTGTGCTCCTTCACTAGTCTTCTCATTTTCTCCCTGGCATCATCCTAAGAATTTTTAAGTACACCACATCATCATCTTTCCCCTACTGTAAAGATCAGAATAATTATATATAATATATATATATAATTTTGAAGTTACCACGTACTCAGTAGTAATCTTATCAGATTTTCTGCAAGTGCAAAGTACAAAGACCAACCAACAGTATGGAAGGAGAAATGGAATTTTTATCTTACCACATTAAGCATTATGAAAAAATATTCACTATTAATGTAATTAAGGCATATCTCTATTTTCAACCAAGTTCCCCTTCTTTCCTAAGCTTTTACCACAATAAAATATACAAAAATACTTAACATTAAACCCATTATTAGTAAGTTTCCTGCTCAAGAATTATACTTTAAGCAATAAACATCAAAACTACTTTATATCCTAGCTTACAAATAAGATGACTACCAAAGCTGCATTCTCTTCACATTACGTGAAAAACTACAAAAGTACTCTAAGTCTGTTGTGCCACAAGTAGCTATGTAATTTCCCCAGGCTACTGTTTGACAAAATAGTGGAGAACTTTTTTCCATCACCACCTCATTTCCCACACACCTTCATACTGTTCCCACAATTCTCTGTATGACCTGATTACAAATTAAAACACAAATAAATTGAGCAATAACCCAAGCTAATTTTCCTATTGTCAGAATTAACATTTAAGGCTAAACATTAAGTATTAATACACTCTCATCACCAGTTAAAAATAAATTTATTGATCCAAAATTACTGCCAAAAGACTTAAGCTAAGCAAAATCTTTACTTAAGCTTAATGCTCTTTTTAACTCCTGCACGAATGCCAGAAAGTTCACCAGTATAACGTTGCTCTTCCCTACGAACTTCACGAACCTGGCCTCTTCTGCGAATTTTGGCTTTTCTGAACTTCTCCCGGTGTTTCACTCTGGGATTCCGATCAATCTTCTTTCTCCTAGGTGTAAGTCCCCTATTTTTAGCAATCTGGTAAGTAATGGCTCTCTTTGCATTTTGATCTTCAAGAACCTGTTCTTCGGTACTATTTTCTTCTTTCTTTCTCTTTAATTTTTGTTTCTCTTCCATTTCTTTATAGTATTTCAGTGCCGCTTCTTCATCAAAATCAGAATCATCAGAAAGGTCTGGAACAGTTAAGGCAGCAGCAGAAGTCTCTGAAACTGATTTTGACTTGGCCTTCATGGATTTTGCTTTTAAATTCAGTTCTTTCTTTCCAGCACCACTTTTAAGTGTGAGCAGATGACGGATTTCAGAGGACAGCTTCTGATCCACGACCGACAACTTGTTGATCAAATTTCGGTAGGTAACAAGCCTTTCAATGACAGGATGTCCATGTGCAGGGACTCTCCGAGCTTTCAGGATCAGATAAAAACTAATGTTGGAGCAATAGTTCAAATAGAGATTGTATTTGGTCCTCAGGTATTGGCTTCCTTTTCCAGGGGGGATGATCTTTTGCTCCACTAACTGTATCAGTGGCTCCAGCTCATCCTTCATCTCTGTCAACTTAACTTTCAAGTCGTCTATCAGCTCCAAGAGCTCTGGAGATTCCTTTCGCAGCATTTTCAGCTTCTCTTTCACGGAAACTTTCGCCAAATCCTTCACGACACGTGTCTCAGCCTCATTTATCTGAGGTACTGGTTTTGCAAAAGCCTCCACCCAGCTAACTCCAAAATCGTCCTCCTGCAGGGCTTGGGCTAAGCGCCGCTGAATGAGCTGTGCCTCCTCCTCCTCCTCTCTCTCCTCTTCCTCTACTTCTTGTTGAGTCTGCCGGCCTCGGGACCTGGAGCCATAGTCCGTGTCGTAGTAAAGTTTTTTCCTCTGACCCCACGACAAACTGGGATCCACAGAAGCCTCAGCCTCACTCTGCACGGAGCTCCCACCATCATCATCATCATCGTCACCCTCCTCACTTTCTCCATCTTCATCGTCCTCATCGGCAACATCTAGGGCAAGCACCTCCTCCTCCTCATCGCCATCCTCCTCGTCCCCACTCTCTATTTCGCTCCAGCCCTTAGCCAAGGCGGCATGAGATCGGGCCTCATGGAATTCATCTACCTTATCCTGGTAGTAGCTTGAGTCCCCCGCTGAGGGTGGAGACTCTAAGTCCTCTCCATTTTCTTCCGCTGGGCCGCGACTTGCCTTCGCTCGCACCGCTGCCCACTCGGCCGCTCCGCGCGCGCGCCGCCCGGATCTTCCCACCATAGTTCGCGGTCTCTGCTTCTACACCGACGTCAGGCTTTCAGCCACCTCTGACCTCTGCGCACGAGCTACACGCTCCAACAACACGCCGCTGTAACAGCCACGCGATCTCTCACCACGCTGGTCTTGCCGGCGCTCCAGTCGGACGCGGCAGTTTCATCTCCTTCCGGTCCCTAGGATGCTCTCCGTGGAGCGTTTGAACCAGGACTTCCGGTTGGTCCTTCAGGTCTTTCCGTGTGGGAACAGTAGGTAAGGAAGTTTGGTTCCGGGGACCTCTTTGGTCCTGTTCTTACTCTCGCGAGCCTGGGCGTGGCTAGGGTGATGGCCCCGTTAACCGCGAGGTGAAGTAGCAGTGACCGTTAGAGGGCGCTTTACCTCTACGCCTAGGAGAGGCAGCCGGGCGGTGCAGTGAGTTGTCCAGCTCCTGTCCGGACGTCACCGGCCCGGAGCCGAGTGCAGGTGTATAAGATTTTCTTGTTTACTGAAATTTTGTTTTCGTCTATCCGTCAGGAAGTTAATCAGATTGTTTTTGTCTACGCAATGTCCAGTACGATCTTTCTGGGCACGGTAGGCGGAGGTAGCGGCGGCGCCGCGGCTGACTGGAACATCCGCGTGCGGGCGCCGGGAAGGGCGCAGGCCTCCGGCGGGTGGCAGCTCGCCTCCAGCCCTTCGCCCGCAGGGCTCGGTGACTTCAGGGGATTGGAGTCCCCGAGGAGTTTTCGAGGGGTGGTGACGGTGGGGAGGCAGAGCTGCGCTCTGCAGTCTGACTGTTGCCGAGGAACTCAAGTTGCCTGCAGGAGGCGCTGCGATTTCTCTTCCTTTCAGTGGAAGACGTTCATTCTTCAGGGTGTTTTGGAAATGACACGTGTTAACTCTCAGGAGCGGGCCCTTTGTAAATTCTTCAGCCCTTAATAAGCACGAGGCAGAGTGTTAGGCTCTGGGAGAACGATGATGGGCAAGAGCAGACGCTGTTCTCGCAATGGTGGAACAGGTGGTTTAGTTAAACCAAATCATCACGCGAAACGTGCCGGATCATAAGTGGGATGAGTACTGTGAACACTTAGCCTGTGTTTCCCAGCCTTCAGCTGCTGAGGACACTCAACGTGCCTTTCACATCGCTGTCTTTTTGTACACGCCATCCAGCCCCCTTACTAAGAAGAGTTTAGTGCTCCCGGCCAAATTTGAGAAATTCTGCTGTAATGAAGAGACAGTCTAAGCATCACTTGTTGGACTTTTCTTTAACTCCCTTACTGCCTTTTTCTCAGCTTTTTTGTATCACGTTGTAGATCGCAACAGAACTGTGATATTGCAAGCACGCAGCACCGCGTCTGGCACAGAGTAAGTGTTCAGTGAAGATCTGTTTAATGAATAAGTATTGACGTTACAGTACTTGATCATGTGTTGAACTCAGGTGCTAAATAAGTGGAATGAATGAATGATGCCTAAACCTGCGGACATCCCTAAGAGAGATAACCTGAGCTGGAATGGATTTTAGAAATCATTAATTCCAGTTCCAGTATCTTCATTGTCTACATGTGGAAACAGAGACTTGGGAAGATTAGGTTAACAAATTTAGCACAGAAACCTGGGCCAGGGTTCCCACACCAGACCCTCTCACCCAGCTGTTAGCAGTCCTTTGCCAGTTCAATGTGAATGAGTTTCGGACCTTTTCCAGAGGGTAGACTGTACTGGGTGGATGAAAGAAACTAAGAGCTCAGATGAAAGTATTTCAAGAGGAAGAGTGGTAATAAGGGAAAAATTAGTAAGATTTGTCTGCAAAAGTTTTTCTAGGACTAGAAGTGTGAAAGGACTGCCCAACAATCTTAAGAGTAATTCAAGGTTTAAGTTTTCAGACGTTACATATGATCAGTTCATATTCACTATATATTTTAGACATTATGCTTCCCAAATGTAGATAGTTTAAAGTTCAACTGTAATAAGTTGTTAAAGTTAATGGTGACATACAGGCTCTTTGTAGAAAGTGCGGCCTGATCAGGTTATAAAAAATAATACAATTTTTTAGAAAAGTGACATTTTGAACTAAGATATTTTTAAAGTGCTACAAGTTATTATAAGCATTTAAAAACCTGTACAGGATTTTAGGAAGTACAATTTAATGAATAAAAAATGTGTGGGTAAAAGTCTTTATGATCTGATGCTAAGTGCAGAATTCATTTTTGAATGTAGACTTTAATAGATTTTTTGTCATTCAGCAAATATTAACTGCTTATTAATTGTTGCAGAATGCTATATGATTTAGTAGATTCAAAGGTGAATTAACCATAATCTCTTCTAATGAGCTGGTGATGGACAGGGAGGCCTGTTCTGCTGCAGTCCATGGGGTTGCAGAGTTGGACATGACTGAAGGACTGAACTGAACTGAACTTCTAATGAGGAGCTTCCCAGGTGGCGCTAGTAGTAAAGAATCTGCCTGCTAATGCAGGAGCACAGGAGATGAAGATTCAGTCCCTGGGTCGGGAAGATCCCCTGGAGAAGGTAATGGCAACCCACTCTGGTATTCTTGCCTGGAGAATCCCATGGACAGAGGAGCCTAGCGGGCTACAGTCCATGGGTTCCCAAAGAGTCGGACATGACCTGAGCGATGACATCATCTTCTAATGAGGTAGAAAAGAAGATATGCATACAGATTATACTAAAATACAAGGCAGTATGTGATGTAAACACAGTGCTGTGAGAGATCAGAAGGGTGAGAGATCATTTCTGGATTTTATTCTGGAAATGTTGCTTAAAAGAGTGTGGCATCTAAGCTGGGATTGTAATTATATCCTTGCTTTAAATGTATTAAATTTGCGTTATATCTAAGCTATTTTTTCTGCTCATTTTTATTGCTGATTATTTGAGAATTGTAGTCATATTCAACAAAATGCATATACTGTTATAGAGAAGATAGAAACTTATTTTGGATATTTTTAGTGGGAATAGTCACATTGCTCTAATATTTATTTGGTTTATACTATACATTACATTTCCTAGCTATATATGAAATAATATAATAATATCCAGGGTATATTCAGAGTGTTGTATTCTAACATTCTCAGATATTTTTGATGAACAGTTCAGAAGTCAGTTCTTCAATTCCAGCAGCTCCTGTAGTATAAACTTCCATAACCGGATCTTGGAATTATTTGCCATTTAGGTGAGGAAATTGTTTCCTTAAAAATTTGTATCACTGAAAAGACATATTAATGCTTTATTACATCATAAGGCTTTGCCAATTACAAAGAAAAATACTGAGTCCTTAGAAAATGAACACATTAAATAGCATTTAACAATTGTATTTGTGACAACTTGAATCTTTGTTACATTATTGTGATACCTGACACAGGAGTTTGCAAACTAGACCTAATGAAAGCCAACAGGTTTGGGAGTTGTTGTTGTTGTTTTTTGCTGTAGGAGGTAGGGGTTTATGAATGAAACACTAGGTTTCATATTAGGATACTTCCTTCAGGGCATGAGTTCAGGTTTTTAAAATTCTACCACCAGATTAGCGTAAACTGATCTCACATTCTTGTGGACTCCTGCAGCAGTAATAGCTAGCGTTGAGAGTGGTTATTATGTTCCAGTATTAGTATAAGCTCTTGACATTCAACCCTATGAAGAAGTACTATGATAATCTCTAATTTAGGATTCAAAGGCACCTGCAGTTTATCTTTCATTAATTAATTTATGACTATCCTGGGTCTTTGTTGCTGTATGGGGGATTTCTGTAGTTGCTGCTAGCAGGGGCTCCTCTCTAGTTGCAGTGCATGGGCTTAGTTGCTCCGTGGCATGTGGGATCTTCCCAGACCAGGGATTGAACCCTTGTCCCCTGCATTGGCAGGTGAATTCTTAACCACTGGACCACTAGGGAAGTCCCAGATGGAATTTAAATGAGGCCTTAAGAAGTATTGGTAGAACCAGATTTGAATCCAGTCAGTCTGGCTTTGGAATTTCCACGAGGTTGTAGCTAACTGCTGTACTGTATTGGCTTTCAAATATTCCCTTAATAGGTCTTTTTACGTCCAGTCTCGGCTGTACATTTGATTCAGCATCATGAGATATGTCTTTCTAGAATGCTATTAATATTTCCATCATTCTATACCCTTGCTCAAAACCTTTCAATGACTCTCAGTTACTATCAAAATAAAGTTCACAACATGCATGGCCCTGCCACAGTTTTGCCTCAAGGCAAGCCTTCCAGCCATACCTTTCATTGAATTCTCTACTACTCTTTATTCTCCAAACATTGCTTTGCAGTCTTCTCCTCTGTTTTTTGCTCTTTTCAGTGTTCCCATGTTTACTTAGGTAAGAAATTTACAGATCACTACAGACATCCTTTTGGCTAACAAATTCCCACATAGATCCATAATGGGACCTGTATGAGGCTGTTTGAAAAGCTGTTATTGAAAGCATGGTGTTGGAGACAACCTGGTTGCTAAAGAGAGATCAGTAAGTATCATGGGTGAGCAGCGTGGAATTCAGGCACATGAAGTAACTATCCTTCTTAGACTGCTTGGCACAGCCCTGTTACTCCACTGTGATTGTTCATAGCAACCCTTTTATCATTTAGATGATAAACTATATGGGTATCTTTTAACTATATAGTAATTGGAAAAAGTGAAAGTTGCTTCATTGTGTCCAGCTCTTTGTGATCCCATGGATTGTAGCCCACTAGGGTCCTCATCCGTGGAATTCTCCAGGCAGGAATACTAAAATGGGTAGCCATTCTCTTCACCAGGGAATCTTCCCAACCTGGGGATCCAACTGGCATCTCCCACATTGCAGGCAGTTTCTTTGCTGTCTGAGCCACCAGAGAAGCCCCAGTAATGAGAAACTGGATTATTCATACACATAGCAGCATGAATGGGTCTTAAAAACAGTGTGCTTAGGATAAAAGGTAAAAAAATGGAGCGTGCAATAAGATATGTGCAACTATACAACAGCACACATTTTATAAGAACATACGCAAACAAAATAATGTACATTAAAGACAAAGAAGGTTG